GAGAGAAAATAGTGCCTGTTAGCACAGACTATTGATTTTTTATTTGTTTGTTTTTGTTTTTTGAGACAGTGTCTCACTCTGTTGCCCAGGCTGGAGTACAGTGGCATGATGTTGGCTCACTGCAATCTCTGCCTCCCAGGTTCAAGTGATTCTCCTGCCTCAGCCTCCTGAGTAGCTGGGAGTACAGGTGCACAACACCATGCCTGGCTAATTTTTGTATTTTTAGTAGAGATGGGGTTTCACCATGTTACCCAGGTTGGTCTCAAACTCATTACCTCATGATCCACCTGCCCTGGCCTTTCAAAATGCTGGGCTTACAGGTGTGAGCCACCATGCTCGGCCTATTGGTCTTTATGATTATATCCAGGGATTCATTTAGTGCCTGCTTAGGAGATCTGTCTTAGGAAAGGCTTGTGACCAGTGGCTCTCCTTCTTGGGGCAACTACTTTCCACACTGAGAGAGATATTAAGTAATAAAATTATTTAACTAAAAAGTCACCCTTAAAAAGAGCAAATAAGACAGTTTTGAATTGTAACTATACTAAGTCTTAAAAATACTAAAAAGCTACATAAGGTCCTTGAAACCACTTTAAATTTAGACAAACAGCAGAGAATGCCCTTAATAGCAAGTCTGAAGATCAAAGTGTGGAACTCTTCCTGAAGGAAACACAGAGGATGAACAGTCTAGAGATTACTGTTGAGGTTGGCTGATGCTCCAACACAGAATGCAGTGAACAGGGCTTCCTCAAGAGGAAAGATACATCTGTACTACAGGCTTTACATTGCACTGCCCAGCACTTAATTCTTAATAAATTTAAGTTTCTGTCTTTCTCCCCTTTTGCATTTTACAAAATGTTTTCCACATCTCATTATATTTACTCTGTATACTAAAAAGAAAACCCTGATAAATAAACTGTATCATTCCCGTTACAAAGGCACATAAGCCTTTACTTGTTGAAGCTGAGAATCACAGGATAATTCTGCAGCTCAATCTCTCCAACCTGAGTGTTCTGGTTCACTCTCCCTGTAGGACTTTATCATCTGTTCTCTGACCACTGGGCTGTTAGCAAAGAGAGACAGTTTTTTTGGTAGGAGAGATCTTTCTGCTTGGAGTCTAAACTGAACATGGATCCCACATAAGTAAAGGCCCATGACACTTTTAATGTAACACAGTTAAACTTCCTTCATGCAGTAGCAGAGGGCATTACTGTTAATCCCTTGATGCCTAGTGTTGTGTGAGTGACATCTTATATGGCAAAGAAATACTAGTTATTTTGCTTCACAGAATTACCGAATGAAACCTCATGGAAAGTCTCAGACATAAGGTAGAGCTTTAAGGACTCATAGGATTTATATAAACCACAGAAGCTCTGAAGGTTTGTCAGACACAAAGCAAAGCAAGAATGTGGTATGATCATGTCCCACAAAGGAGACCTATTTGCCAACAGCATGAAGGGAAATTAAGAGGAGATAAGATTAACTAGATCTTCAAAGTTCAGATGATGGAAGATGTTGACCACAAAAATTATAAATTTTGGCTATAATCCAGCAATCTTCAGCCTTTTTGGCACCAAGGACCAGTTTTGTGGAAGACAATTTTTTCATCGATTGGGGTTAGGGGGATGGTTTTGGGATGATTCAAGCACATTACATTTGTTGTGCACTTTATTTCCATTATTATTACATTGCAATATTTAATGAAATGAAATAATTATGCAACTCACCATCATGTAGAATCAGTGGGGGCCCTGAGCTTTTTTCCTGCAACTGGATAATTCCATCTGCGGGTGATGAGAGACAATGACAGATCATCAGGCATTAGAGTCTTTTTTTTTTTTTTTTTTTTTTTTTTGAGACGGAGTTTCACTCTTGTTACCCAGGCTGGAGTGCAATGGCACGATCTCGGCTCATTGCAACCTCCGCCTCCTGGGTTCAGGCAATTCTCCTGCCTCAACCTCCTGAGTTGCTGGGATTATAGGCACGCACCACCATGCCCAGCTAATTTTTTGTATTTTTAGTAGAGACGGGGTTTCACCATGTTGACCAGGTTGGTCTCGATCTCTTGACCTTGTGATCCACCCACCTCGGCCTCCCAAAGTGCTGGGATTACAGGCTTGAGCCACCGTGCCCGGCCTAGAGTCTTATAAGGAATATACAACCTAGATTGCTCACATGCATAGTTCACAATAGGCCTCCTGCTCCTATGAGAATCTCATGCCACCACTGATCTCACAGGACGCAGGACTTGGGATAATATGAGCGATGGTGAGCAGCTATCAATACAGATGAAGCTTCTCTCACTCACCCACTGCTCACTTCCTGCTGTGCGGCCCAGTTCCTAACAGGCCACAGAACTGTACCAGACTGGGGTTTGGGGACTCCAGCTATAACCTATTTAAGAAACATTTGGTCTCCCACCACCCAAAATGCCAAAAGGAAAGGAGGCCAAGGGGAAGAAGGCCAAGGTGGCCCCAGCCCCTACTGTTGTGAAGAAGCAAGAGGCCAAGAAAGTGGTGAAATTCCCTGTTTGAAAAGGCCTAAGAATTTTGGCACTGGAGAGGATATCCAGAACAAAACGGACCTCACCTCCTTTGTCAAATTTTGTCAAATGGCTCCACTGTATCAGGTTATAGTAGAAAGAGCTCTCCTCTGTAAGCAGCTGAAAGTGCCTCCTACAATTAACCAGTTCACTCAGGCCTTGGACCTCCACGTAGCACTCAGCTGCTTAAGTGGGCCCAAAAGTACAGACCAGAAACAAAGCAAGAGAGGAAGCAGAGACTGTTGGCCCAGTCTGAGAAGAAAGCTGCTGGCAAAGGGGATGTCCCCATTAAGAGATCACCTGTCCTTTGAGCAGGAGTTAATGCCATCACCACCTTGGTGGAGAACAAGAAGGCCCAGCTGGTGGTGATTGCACACAACGTGGATCCCATTGAGCTGGCTGTCTTCCTGCCTGCCCTGTGTTGTAAAATGGGGGTCCCTTACTGCATTATCAAGGGAAAGGCAAGACTGGGATATTAAGTCCACAGGAAGACCTGCACCACAGTCACCTTCACACAGGTTAACTCAGAAGACAAAGAAGCTTTGGCTAAGCTGGCGAAAGCTATCAAGACCAGTTACAGTGACAGATATGAGATTCATCATCACTGGGGAGGCAATATCCTGGGTCCCAAATCTGTGGCTTACATTGCCAAGCTGGAAAAGGCAAAGGTGAAAGAACTTGCCATTAAACTGGGTTAAGTGTACACTGTTGAGTTTTCTGTATGTAAAAATAATACAAATTCTCCTTCAAAGAAAGAAACATTTGGTTCCTAAGAAGGGGGAAATTACTTACAAGTAAGGCCACATTACCTTGCCCCAGACATGTTCTTGCATCTTTATTTCAGGCTCCTTTATTCTGCAAAAGGAGAGGTGAGAGAAGCATAATGACTGAGTAATGTGAAACGACAGGCTTCTTGTTTTCAAAAGAACATAGGAAGCAGAGCCCCTAAAATAGCACAGGTGAATTTTTTGGCTGGGCATGGTGGCTCAGGCCTGTAATCCCAGCACTTTGGGAGGTCAAGGTGGGCAGTTCAAGGTCAGGAGATCGAGAACATCTTGACCAACATGGTGAAACCCCATCTCTACTAAAAATACAAAAATTTTAGTGGTGGCACGCGCCTGTAGTCCAAGGTACTCTGGAGGCTGAGGCAGGAGAATCCCTTGAACCTGGGAGGCGGAGGTTGCAGTAAGCCGAGATTGCACCACTGCACTCTAGCCTGGGAGACAAGAGCAAAACTCCATCTCGAAAAATTTTCTTCACTCCAACAGTGTCTGACAAGAGTCCTAGAAACAGGAAAATTTTCTTACTATATTGAATTCAAACCCTGACAAAATGAGAAAACTATGTGCATTAGTCTGCTTAGGCTACCATAAAAAAAAATACCATAGACTATGTGGCTTAAACAACAGAAATTTATTTTCTCACAGTTCTGGAGGCTAGCAATCTGAGATTAGTGTGCCTGCATGATTGGTTTCCAGTGGGAGCTCTCCCGCTGGGTTGAAGAAGGCTGCCTTCTCCCTTATATGTTCACTCACATGACCTGTTATTTGTTCAAAGATGGAGAGAGAGGGAGTAAGCTCTCTGGGTATCTCTTCTTATAAGGGCACTCACTAATTGATCATGAGGGTCTGCCATGTAATCCTAATGTCCTCCTTAAGGCCCCATTTCCAAATACCATCACATTTGGGGTTAGGACTTCAACAAAAGAATTTTTGGGAAAGACACAAATATTCAGTCCATAACACCGCATATCATGAAATGATTGACTAATACCTCCTAATCTCTGTCATAATCACCAATTAAAAACATGATGGGGCTGGGCATGGTGGCTCATGCCTGTAATCCCAGTGCTTTCGGAGGCCAAGGCAAGAGGATCACTTGAGCCCATGAGTTCAAGACCAGCCTGGGCAACGTAATAAGACCTTGTATCTACAAAAACTAAAAAAATTAACTGAGCATGGTGGTACATACTGGTTGTCACAGCTACTCAGGAGGCTGAGGTGGGAATCATTCTTGATAATTTCATTTTTCTTACTTTCCATATCTAATCAGTCATCAGTCCTCCTGATTCTTATTTATCATTTCTCCTAGGGTGACTGCCATAGCCTCCTAACTTGTCTCCCTTATATGTTTCACACAATAGATACTGCATTGTTTTAAAAATGTAAATTAAAACATTTTATTTTGTGTAAATCCTTCAATGGCTTCCCTTTTATTTAGAATAAAATCTAGCATCTTTTATTTTGTTTTTCCATTGGGTTTTTTCCCTTTTTCTCTTTTATCAGAATTGTAGCAAGTACTTCAAAAATCTAGCATCTTTACAATAGCCCTGCATGATCTGACCTCTTCCTATCTGGGCAACTTCATCTCTGACCACTCTTGCCTTTATTTTATTTTATTTTAATTGATTGTGTGTGTGTGTGTGTGTGTGTGTGTGTGCGCGCGCCAAAGATTTATTTCTTCATTTCTTGCATTTGAAGTACTCTTTGATGACATCCTTGGCCTGAGACTTCTTGCCATAGTCCTTAACCACTACACAACTGTAGCCAACCACTTTACGAGGCTTACCCTCTCGGTCAGTTTTACAGAGGCCTACCCATTCCCCTAATTTCTTGTCATCAACCTTAATTAGGTTGATTTGGTGTTGAGCACAAAGGGCCTCCACCCACTTGACATACATAGGCTCATCACAGTTGGATGCAAGCACACAGAAGTGGGCTTGGAGCTTGTCTAAGGCTTTGGCAGCTTCTCGAATTCCATGTGCTAGGCCATCGTGGACGAGGGTGGTATTCAGCACCTCTTGTAAAGCAGTATTAACGTCCATTACACCTCCAGCAGCAATGCCTTCCTCGGCCATGGCGGTGGGTTACAGGTGAAGCTGAATCTTGAATGCACCCACGCCTCTGCATCTGCACGACTCGGCAGTGGCTGGGAAAGATCCACTCTTGTCTTTATTCTAGCCTCATGGAATTATATAAATTCCTCAAAAATAGTCAGTGTCTAGCATAATTCCTGGCTTAAATTCAAGCCCCTCCCAATACTGCCCTCAAAATCAATTTTTAAAATGAAATCACGTATGAAGTATTAATGTTAGAAAGCTTCTTAAAAAAAAACCCTTTTTAAAGTATTAATTGACTTTTTTTCTTTAAAGTGATTGACTTTTTACTTACTGTAGCAAGGCTTCAGGGGGAAATAGCAAATGTGAACAGATAGAAGGCAAAACAATAAACTATAGTATCCCACTGGATACAGCTACCTGACTTTGTAGTGTAGCGCAGATGTCTTTAACAGAAAATAAGTCATTTTTTTTTTTTTTTAGTATCCTCAGGGTAATATATGTACGCCATCTACCACAAGAAAATTATCATCGGTATGTTAATGGAAGATCTTATTGTTATTTTTGAGACATAGTCTCACTCTGTCACCCAGGCTGGAGTGCTGTGGTGCAATCTTGGCTCAATGCAACCTCTGCCCCCCATGTTCAAGCGATTCTCCTGCCTCAGCCTCCTGAGTAGCTGGGACTATAGGCATGCACCACTACATCTGGCTAATTTTTTCTATTTTTTAGTGGAGATGGGGTTTCACTGTATTGGCCAAGTTGATCTCAAACTCCTGGCCTCAAGTGATCCGCCCACCTCAGCCTCCCGAAGTGCTGGGATTACAGGCATGAGCCACTGGACCTGGACTTACGAACTTATTTTGAAGAATTTAAAAGTTTTTTCAAGAAATATTTGAAGGGAACTTTGAGATGATGGTTAGGTCTGAAGACAATTAAGTGCTTGTAACTAGAAAATGTTGAGATAAACCTGCCTCACCCCCTCAGGAGGATCCTTCAGTGTTCTGGTATCTATAGCTATGTAACAAACCACCTAAACTTCGTAGCAGAGAACAACTATCTATTTGTTATTATTATCTCTCATGGATCTAGGGGCTGACTGTCCTCATGTGGTTGGAGTCAGACTGGCCAGGGCTGGAGTCACCTCACAGGTGTTTTCATCCACACGTGCAGGTAGATGCATGCTGTTGGCTGTGACCTCAGCTGAGGCTTTTGGCTGGAACTGGTACACATGGCATTTGTGTGTGGCCTAGGTTTCCTTACAATAACTGATCTATGTGGGAGAAAAAGGTCTAGCCATCATGGCCCATGCTGAGACATTTCTGAAGGGCCATTCCAGCTCTAAAGCTCTCTCTGGAGTCAGCCAAGTCTGTCCTTGGCACTGCATCACAGCTCGACTTCTCCTGCTTCATTCTCCTGCTTCCTTCCCTTCCCTTCCCAGGTGCTGATACCAAGGGCCTCCTCAGTGAACATCATGCACACTAAGTTAGTCTTAGAATCTTCTCTTGGGGAATCTAGCCCACAACAAAATGGGAACTGTAAATTCAGTAGGAAAGGCTAGCTATGGAGACCAACATAAGCTGGAACCACATGAGGCCCCTCAATGTTGGTGCCAGAATTCCCACTTGGGGCACTGGGAGCAGCATTCTCCTGTGTATGTTTGAGGATGGGAGGCGGGGGTGAAATTCACCTTGGGGATTTATTTTGAAGTGGCTTGTATTCAAGTATACTATACCTTAGATTATATATTTACTTGTGGACCTGTCTGGACAGCTTACAGAGATACAGAGATGAGAATAAAAGTCCCTGTACATACATAGACATTCTCCTCCACTGTACCACAGCCATTCTTAGGATAACCATATATGGTTGGTGGAAATAGCTGTGGCATTCTCTAGAAAGTCTGAAGAACTGAGGCACTTGGCAGAGTAATTGCTTTTTGTGTCCAAAGAGAAGCAAGAGAATAATCTGGAACACAGCCAGAACCTGCAGGGGAGGGTTGATGAAGGGTACAGGAACCACTGTCCTTCTTGCCCAAACTAAGTGGTCTTATGAAGATTCACCTGAATACTTTAAAAAGCTTGTTAGAGCCTGTCTGGAATCAACCAAAACTCAATTTAAAGCCCTTACCTCTCAGATATTAGCATAGTGATCCCTCCTTTGGTTTATGTTTTTACCCATGTATTACCTTTTCAAAGAGGCTTCCTTGATTGCTCACTGTGCTTAACTTAGTATGCTTTCACTCTCCTTTTATACTATTTTTTATTTTCCTTTATATTTATTATCATCACTTGACACAATTTCATGTATTTATTTATTTGCCATCTCTCCTCCCAGAATGTAATCTCCAGAAAGGCTGAGAATTTGTCTATTTCATTGATCATTATATGCCAAGCACCAAGAAATAGCGCAAGCTTAATACATATTTGTGGATTGAATGAATGGCTATTTTCTTGGGTAATCAAAATTTCTTTAATTCTCTATATTCTTCTGGAAATTCCAAACTCTCCAGATACGGAAAAGCTAGGCAACAGCAACTTTTTACTGAATGTTTCCTAAATTACTTTTATTTCATATTTTTGAAATTAAGAAAATAGATTACTATAATGAAATAAGTAGAAGAAAATAGATCACTTAGATAAATATTAAACATATATGCTTAAGCCTGGGTAAACTGAAAAATGCCTCTTCTCTCTTGATTCCCCTCCTTTCGTTCTCCCAATAAAGCAAGACAAGGTCATTGCTTCCTAGTGTTTATTAGCTTGAAACACATTCAGCTTTTTTAGTGAAGAGCTCATGTGGGTCAGAATGGCACACAAGCATGTGAGCCTTTTTCTTCCAAATCAATCAGTTGAAATAGAACATGGATTTATTTGAGTGAGGCTATCAATGCTGCCTGGAAAACACCAACCATCACAATTATGTACTGATAATAAGCCTGAAATATACTGATACAGAGTGATGCAGGATTTTTTGCTCCTTAATTCAGCTAAAATCCAGGTTCTTGTCACATGACCAGGAAAAATTAGGCACGTGGACACATTGAAAGGTGAGGAGAACGAAATTTATTATAAGAAAGCTCTCAGTGAAAAAAAGGGATACTGCCAACAGGCTGCCACCTGACAGATTGCATACCAGGCTCCTACACACGAGCTGAAGAGGCCAGCCTCCTCTACCGCGGTGCAGAAGGCACGAATTTCCGGTAGCTCCACCCTACTCTCCCAGTGCGCAGGCCGGCCCCCAGTCTGATGCAGGCATTCCGGGACAAGGCCCTGGGCAGGTTTTCTCATCTGCACAGAAACGGCTCATGTAAACACTTGCTCAGCCAGTCGGAGATTCTCCGGGTACCCTCTCTTATCTGCCTTCTGCAAGAGTACATTATATTTCCTATGGAATAGGGTGACTTTATTCATGAAAGGTATACATGCAGTCAACTGAGGTAGAATCGTTTTTTTAAAAGAATCTGCTTATGAATTAGAGAGGCATCCATAGAACATCTTTTGGATCCAGTCTTCAAACTTGCTGGGAACTGCACTCTTTCTCTGTGTTCTGGAAATTTGGAGCCGACACCTCAATCCATATGAAGAAGATACAATGTTCCTAAACTATGACACTCTTGTCTCCTCTTAGGGATAGACATTCATTCTGGCGACACGCTGGGGACCAAACTGGGCCAATGAGACTCCTCCCCTTGAGATTTGGAATTGAGACCAAGGATTTCAACTCTTTTTGAACACAGGAGATACAATCTAGTGAGGGAGTTGTTGATGGTGAATACTTTCTGCTCCATGTCCTACAAAACAGGGACAGGCAGTGTGCAGAGACTTGGAGGGGAAGCAAACACCTGCGAAGGAGGGCCTCTTGGTTTCCCGATGGTGTGTGGGGCCTTGCTTACAGCTGGCCATTGAGATCCTGCTGTATCTCTGTCCTTGGGTTCTGTGAGGCAAACTCATTGCTTAATGTAAATCTGCCATTCCCCACCAGTCTAGCTCACTTGGTTCTTAAGGACTAAACTCTGACTTTTTTTCTTATCTTGCCCAAATTCCTACCTAAGGGGCCTGGGGAGTCATGCCCTGCAAACCATAAAGTTTCATCAAAGTGATTTTATTTAACCCTCTAGAGTCTAGAACATGAACTTCTTTCTCACCTGACTCTGGCATAACATCACATAACAAATAAAGAAAAAAATAAAAATATTTTAAACCCCAAGTGTATTTCCTTGTCATATTCTTGAAATGGCCCTGCAAAGTTGTCTCTTGTGGGAAAAATCTGCATTCTGTAGAGAATCACCTTTCCCTTTTTTTTCTTTTCAGATCCAGGAGATAATCAACTAAGAGTCAGGCACCCTTTTAAGTCTGATAAAAAAACATTTTACAACCCTTTCTCTCTGAAGCCTGCTAGCTAAAAGCTTCCTCTGCACAATAAAACTTTGGTCTCCACACTGCTGGGTGCAGGGGCTCACACCTGTAATTCTAGCACTTTGGGAAGCTGAGGCGGGCGGATCACCTGAGGTCAGGAGTTCAAGACCAGTCTGGCCAACACAGTGAAATCCTGTCTCTACAAAAAATACAAAAATTAGCTGGACTTGGTGGCGGGTGCCTGTAGTCCCAGCTACCTGGGTAGCTGAGGTGGGAGAATCACTTGAAATTGGGAGGTAGAGGTTGCAGTGCGCTGAGATCTCGCCATTGCCCACTAGCCTGGGTGACAGAGGAAGACCCTGTCTCAAAAACAAAACAAAATAAAAAACACCAAAAAGCTTTTATCTCCACAATCCAACCCAAACATTTTCTTTCTATCAATCCCAGGTCCTTAGACAAACTCAACCGTCAACCAGAAAATGTTTAAATGTACCTATAGTTGGGAAGCTCCCCCCAACCCTCAATTCCCCAAATTGTCCCGCCTATCTGAACTAAACCAATGTACATCTTAAATGCATTTGATTGATGTCTCATGTCTCCCTAAATTGTGAAAAACCAGGGTATGCCCTAATCACCTTGGGCATGTGTTCTCAGGATCTCCTGAGTGCTGTG